TGTAATAACTATACAAGGTATCAGATGGGTACTGCTGGACTTACCAGAATAATCACTTTATAAGTTATATAAATATCTAATCACTATGTTATACACCTGAAACTAATATAATTTTGTATGTTAAATGTAATTAGAAATTTAATCATTCTTAAAATTTTTCTATTCTTACTCTCCTCTTTAGAATGTCCTATTAGATTTTTGTTCTATTCTCACAATATTGATAATGGTCTAAAATATCTCCAATTCATATTTATATTTTACTTGTTTCTTGGGTTTTTTATTGGCCTCCACACCCAACCATGGAATCTGAACTCGAAATGGGAGCTACATCCCCAGAGCGCAGAGCAATGCCTGTGACATATAGGATCTTAATAAATGTTTGTTGAATGCACAACATATGAACCCACCAGGGTCAACCTGTCCTCCATTCAATTTTTCCTTCTCGTCTGTCTTCTAAATCTCACATGAACACTTCTCATTGGCAGACACTAAACTGGAACCATATGGCGCTAAGTGAACACAGTTCCTTATTTTTCCTCTAAGAATGTGTAAGTGAGGAACCTAAATTGAAATGAGATGATCTGTCATGAGGAGGTTGTACCCTGGGTCTCACCCCAGGCTCCCTTTGGGTTCCATCATCAAGATGGGTGTAAAAAGTTTCATGATATTGCCAAAGCTCTGGGAAACACAAATGCATAAGCATTATTTTTCTATAGAGAATGAAGGGCTCTGAAGGTTTCAAGCAACAAAACAGAACAGTGAGCACTCCGCTAAATAGACCTTATATAACTGGAGTGATACCAAATTCCAGAAGAACAGAAACCAGAAGTAAATACAATAGGGCAGTACCAGCAAGGGTGGTGGTTGTTATTTTAATTGTCTTTCTGTTGCTTAGTGAGCACCACTCCTGATTCAGAACAGGCGGAAAAGGAGTCTGGCGTGGACTGCATGCAGGTGTGTAAGAAGCTAATGGAAGTGACAGCTAAGATGACATATAACCAGGGTGTTGAAAAATGAATTATCCATGTGGTTTAAATGGGCCAAATGATATATTGGAACATCATGTGGTTTAGCACAAAGCATGGCATTCAAGATGGAAGATCCAAATCCTAACCCTGGCTCTCACACAGACCACTTTTATGAGACTGAATGAGTCATTTAAACCACACCGAGCTGTGGTTTCTCCCTCAGTCAAATCAGTGTAGCAAAATGTATTGCCCAGTCACAGCACAGGATGTTGCAAGGAAACAAGGAAGGGGACAACAAAAGTAGCCTATTTTTGCAAGGTGCACACCATGAGCAAAATAATGGCTCTTATTAGGTCACTGTCATGGCAAGACTCTTGCAAACTTAATTTGTCTTTCAAACTGATAAATGCCACTTTTCTAAACTGATACAGTGCATTAGAAATACTAGACTTCATTGCTTTACTTTTGTATTCCCAACCTTTATATGAATTTTCATTATATACCACAAACATTTACAATTAGGGAATTCATTTTAGTTGTAGTAACAGTTGCCAATAATTTGCCTGAAAGATCCCCTCTGGCCAGAAATATGCATCCTTGTCCCTGTATTCACAATCTTATATTTAGTCCTTGCCAACAGGCTGTTTAGGTTGCTCCAAATCAAATAAACTCTGCAGCCCACACAGTAAGTATTAGATCATTACTGTGCAGGCGGTACACAGGCTGGAGGTGCAAACAGAATGCAGGGCAGAAGGGAATCATCAGACCTGAAATGAGACACAGAGGTAGTTATGCAAAGTGGAGAAAGGGAGAGACAAGAAGTCAAAACAGCTGCACTTAAATAGCAGCTCTGCCACTTAAGGTATGACCTTGGTCCACCTTAAAGAGGACTTTGGACCTTGGCTGTAAAAGTGGAATAATAGACGATGCCAGGTGAGCAAAGTCAGGAGGGCGGGCATTAGTCAACTCAGCAAGCACTGAGAGCATGTGAGCGAACTTAGAGCCACACAGCTTGGGGTTTAATTCTAGTTCTAACTCTAACCCCATGACTCTGGTCGAGGCACTTAACTTCTCTGTGCCTCGGTTTTCTTTTCTCTAAAACAAGGACAATAACAGTGGCAACTTCACACTGAGCTGAGAGAAATGAGTGAACCTGTGTAAACCTTTTAGAAGTATGCGGCATATGATAGCACTCAAAAAGATTGGCTTGCGCTGAGTAGCACAGTTGGTTGGAGCATTGTCCCGAGCACCAGAAGGTTGTGGGTTTAATCCTCAGTCAGGGCACATACGTAGGTTGTGGGTTTGATGCCTGGTTGGGCTGCATATGGGAGACAATCCATGTTTCTCTCTCATATCAATGTTTCTATTTCTCTCTCTCTCTCTTTCCCTTCTTCTCTCTCTAAAATCAGTAAGTATATCCTCAGATGAGGATTTTAAAAAAACATTGGTTTTTGCTATGCATCAGGCATAGAGGACACAAAGATCAAATAAGATATCACCCAGGCTGAAAAGAAGTCATAGTATGTATCAGATGATCTCCCAAGGTCTCTTTCAAATTAATGACTCTCTTAATTTAAGCTAATTTTAGCTTTCTCATCTCTCATTTATATCCTTATAGCCAAGAACTTTCATTAAAAAATGCATGTTTACGGCAAAGGGCTGGCTCGTCTGCCATGGCAGGCTCTGCCTCCCCTGAGAAACACTCGCAGGTAACAGCAGCATCCCTCCACTCTGCAGCAGTTGCTGTGTTACAGAGAACAAGTAGTCACAGGACCTGGAGCATGAGCAGAGATAGGCACCCAACACTCAGAGCAGTTTTCATGAACATCTTGCTAGAAATAAGACAAGGGATGGCAAATACACAGAAAAATTCCTTTCATTCTTTCCATGCATCTGTTCTTCATTGAAGAGACCCATGTGTAAAGAACCAATACCAGGTTCAATAAACTCTAAGTTAAAGATACTTTGAAAATGACACTACGGTAAGTTTCCTAATCCCACATTTCATAGTAATGGCTGTAAACAATTTGCTCTCTTCGCAAAACTATAGCCTTCCTATGATGCTGTTCTCTTGCAGCAGATCTCCGTCCTGAAGACCTCCTGTTCTCTGTGAAAGTCATGCTTCATTGGCTTTCCCTCATCAAACGCAGAAATTTACCTTTGCCGCTTCCCCATCTGTCCTTTACTTTTAGTACATCACTCTTACTTAAATAGAAGAGCTGGTCCCTTTTCTAATGAAGGGTAAACCTGTGTAAGAAATCCCACTTGGTCTCCCTACTCTTGTTCTCCTATATGTAATTATTCCTCACCTATAGTTCCACTTCAGTACATAAACTTAATCGAGGATCTCAAACTGTAAAAAAGGAGAAAAAACATCTCCCTAAGGCCCACGAACTTTGCTAACTTCAGCTCTATCTCTCTCATCTTTGTGAAAGCCACGACTCTCTCTCGAAGCAGTTATCTACAGTTGGCATCACCGTGTCTCTGCTTCTCTTTCTCACATTAACTCATTCAAAGCAGGCTTTCGTTCCACCGAAACTGTTTTTGCTGAGCTATCCAATGATCTCCATCCATATCTCTAAGGCCAACAGACTCCTCAGTTTTCATTTTGCTTGACCTGAAAATGGCATCTGACCTTGTTACCACTTCCTCCTTAAACACACACACACACACACCAAAAAACACGCTTTTTACTCAGTGTCAGCACAGCACATTCTCCTACTTTTCTACTTACTTCTTCAGCTGCATGACCCAGGTCTCTCTGAGGGCTCCTCTTCTGCTATATATTCCCCAAACATTGAGAGTTACCAGCATTATACCCAAGACTCTATGTCCATCCCTCTTTCCATACTGCCCTACGTGATTTCCCATATATCCATGGCTTCAGTAAATCCCACCTCTAGTCCAAACTGACCTCCCCTGAATCAGACTCACATACACATGGAATCCATATCTCAACTCAAGATGTCTCACAGGTATCTTAAAATCAGTTTTCCAAGACTAGTCATAGCATCTCTGTGGGGGGCCCCACCAGCAGGGCGCCCATCTCCACTGACAAGAGTGTCCGAGCTAATACTTGGGTAATGATCCTTGACTCCCTCTTATTCATTCCTCACATCTCATCCATAATCACATAATTTCAACTTTCTCACTTCTCAGCTTAAATGTAATTTCCTAAGAATAGCCTTCCTTGGATCCAAAGATATAATTAGCTTCTTTCCCTTCCTTTGCACTTTATGGTTCCATACATAGCTTTCCCTTCTTCTCCAACTCTGTTACGCATAAATCCAAACCATCGTTTCCTTCTGCTCGTGTTTTACACTCACAATACTAGAATCTATACAGCACAACGCAAGTATTCCCTGCTAAGTAATGTAAGGGCGGGGACTGTATTGATTTTGCTTGTATCTATATATCCAATGCCTTAAATAAAGACTGGCAAGTAAAGATTGTTTAATAAACATTTCTTAATGAACTAATGAATAAGTTTCAAGTGTGATTAAATACTACCCAGGAGAGGTACCTAATCAAGTTTTAGGCAATCATGGAAAGCACCCAGAAGAAGCCTTCTGTAAGCCAAGATTTGAAGCATGACTTTGAGATTCTCAAGCAAATGACAGAAGTCTGAAAGAAGATTGATGATTCCAGGAAAGGAAGTGAAGAAGCAAGCAGAATTATTCCAGGTGACTTGACCTTGACCCTTAAAGGAGTCACCTAAGATAAGTCAGGTAGTCAAACCCACCTGACTCTGAGTTCAATATAAACTGTATACACAGGCTGTTTTGTACTGAATGTGCCCTCTACCTCATAGTTACATGTTGAAGCCCTAACCCCCACCCCCGTGGAGGTGGTGCCTTTGTGAGGTAATTCAATCCAGGTTACGTCATGGGGTTGGGATCTTCATGATAGAATTAGAGCCCTTATAAGAAGAGGAAACCAGAAAGATCTCCTTTTCTCCACACCTCCACGTGCACACGTCAATGAAAGGCCATGTGAGTACAACAGCTAAAAGGCAGCTGTCTACAAAACAGGAAGTGGGTTCACACCAGGAACTGAATCTGCAAGCACCTTGATCTTGGACTTCCCAGACACCAGAACTGTAAGCAAATTAAATTAGGTTGTTAAAGCCACCCAGTCTATGATATTTTTATGACAACCTGAGTGAGCCAGTTAGTACAGCATAATTAAATACTTCAAGAAGTGTAATTGAGTTCAATGTACAATATGGAACCACTGAGGATTTTAATGAAGGGAAGAAAGAGACACGCGATCAAATATGTGTCTCAAACATGCACTGTGGTTTTAATATAGGGAATGTATAAAATGGAGCAAAACTAGAGGCTCAGATGACAGGTAAACAACTTTTGAATGATCCACTGAAAATATGATGATTACCAGAAAAAAATTGAACTGAAGATGGAAATAGTACATAAATTTAAGAGATGGTTAGAAAATAAATGCCATCAAACTTACTAATCTGTTGGATTGTGGGGTACTATTAAATGGATACCACTTAGTAAGGAAAGTAAATGGAAAAAAAAAACAGCTTTAGAAAGGGAATCACCAATTTCAGTTTTAGATATTCCATTTGAGTTCCTTGTGGGACATCCAAAGTTTTATGACCAGTAACTTATTGGCTCTGAAAGACTGAAACTCAGTTTAGATATACGAGTTAAGTAGATGCAGGGGTTGATGTTTAGATAGATGTTTAGGAAGGAAGGAAGGAAGGAAGGAAGGAAGGAAGGAAGGAAGGAAGGAAGGAAGGGAGGGAGGGAGGGAGGGAGGGAGGGAGGGAGGGAGGGAGGGAGGGAGGGAGGGAGGGAGGGAGGGAAAAAGAAAGATCTAAATAAACGTATTTGGAAGTGTTCACAATAAAGATAGTAATTTCAGCCAAGTGAGAATCTTAAATTATGTAAGAAAATTATAAAAATACAGAAGAGACAAAGGTAAAGAAAATATTTTAGACAGAACTTAGAGACACACCAAAAGTTAAAGAATATATCAAAAATAACTTGGGAGTGAGGGTTTTGGTTACCTGAAGAGTTGTTGCTGTTAGTTTTTTTGTTTTTAAATGTCCAGTAAAGTGTTATATTTTTCAAATAGATAGTCCACTCGTTACTAATTATGCAAGTTTCTTAATTATTCTGTGCCTCAGTTTATGTGTAAAATTGGGAAATAATAGCCTCATCCCCACAAAACAGTGGTAAGAATTAAATGATCTCATTCATCAAAGCTTGGGGAAATGCCAGAATTTTAGCATTTGGCATTAAGACAAGGTTTCAGGGACTGCTGCCTTTACAAGTCTGCTCAGCCCATCTGAACTGCCCTCTACATATAACATACAATCCCTTTTGCAATAATTCAGAGCACTCATTACCCATATGGAAAATGGAGGCTACGATGCTAAACACACACACACCCTGAACTTCAACTAGTATCGAAATAATAGTGCTCCACAAATATGTGTTGGAAATGAATACCTGTGTGATTTTGCTCACTGTGGCCCCTACTGCTCAGCAACCAGGCCTTCTCCTCCATAATACTGTTTCTCACCCATGGGCCACTCAAGTGATGCCATGGACCTCTTTTTCACAGCACCTGACGCCTTTTGTTTCAACACTTACTTGTTACACAGCCTTGGGTTCCAGTCTTCCCTGCCAGGGCAACCTTTTCTTATATAAATTAGATTTTATTTATGTAAGAAATAATTTATAACTTACTTATATAAGAAATAAGTCAAACAGTTATTTTTCTGAAAGTCTAATGCAAAAGTTCTCTATTTATGTTTATCATTTAAATTAACCAAAAGAGAGGCAATTTGGTCATTAGTCTAAAAAGTAAAAATAAAGTATTTAGTCTCTAGTAGGTCTTGTAAAATTTTCCTTAAATCGTAATATGATAATATTAATGGGCCAAGTGCAATATAATATATATTCCGAGAAAAAAGAAAAATATATTATTCTTTAGTATAAAATGGGGGTAAAATAATAATTAAAGACCAAGACCAACTAATGTGAAAAAATAAAACTGATACCTATTATTAATAATTTTTTAAAAAATAAGCAATGTGGCAATTCCCCTAAGCTTTTTCTAAAAGCTGCATGTGAAATATTTGAAGAAAATTCATGGAAAACATTGTCTTCATATATAATATTAATGGCCTAATGACATTAAAGGTAATTTAGCACTGCTTTGAAACAGGGTAAGAACAAAGTCTTGCACGTCTTGGGCCTAATGATAAGAAATCACACAAGGAACGCCACTCTCTTTCCTTTGCAAGGTATCAGAGAATACTGAGTTTGTCCATGACATTCATACTATACTACATTGGCGAGTTCCAAGTATGTTTTTAGATTATACTAGAATATGTGTTCATCTATACTGTAAGAAAATTATGAAGCAGTCTCTTCCCTCAAAGAATTTTTTGTGTGATTGGGAGATACAAAAATTAAGAAATGACTTCAATAGATGTGTCTCTGTGAGTAGTAAAGAAAAAATACAGAGAAGAGAGAGTAAAAATGCCGAGGATAAATGGTTCAGAAAATATTCGTAAGACAAGTGGTGGTCTTTGAACAAAGTGTTGAGAGTTATTTTAGCTTTACTTATTTATTATCAAAGTACCATATTTTAACTTGAAAAATGGGAAAGTATGGAGTAAAATAGCACTTGTAATCTAATACCACCACCTACAGTTATACACAATAAATTTTAGACTTTTTCTTATTATTTTCTATCTAATTTTCCTTGTCATTGGGCTAATACTATAGCTTATACTATATTTTTGACAGAACATGGAACAGGTACTTTAAATAACATAGTAAACATCAAATACTTTAGTAACTTTAAATATTTTTGCAAGCATAATTTTAATAGAAGCATTACATTAAATTAGTTTCCATACTAGGACAACCTGCAATCACTTTAAATATCCTAAAACAGTCATTACAAACACAATTTTAATAAATAGTTGTCTTTATATAAATCTATGTTCTCATTTAAATTGAGACTTTGGTATAGAAATGACAGATGAAAGAATGTGATCCTCTTTTTTTAAGATGAACAGAATCTTCACTGAATAATCAGTATTCAACACATGCCTGATGCCACAATACGTATTTTAGGCCTGTAGAAGGAAGGTACAAAAGAATACAAAATTGACACATAATAAGGGGTTAAAATTCACAAGTACATTGATTTATAATCGATCAAGTCAGGTGAGGTGGGTGGTAGATGAGATCCAGAAAGTAGGAAGGAACCAGGTCATGAATACGTTTTTATGCCGTGATCAATAAGTTCTCTTTTATCTTGAAGGCAATGTAAATTCAATACAAGTCTGATCAATGTAATTGATTTACTTGCTGAGGAAGAGTTTGTGTCCTTAGGTAAATAAGACTAGTAATGAGATATCTAGCGAGGGCCCAGCTGAAAATATTCTTTCTTTAGGCAGTGTACCTTATCTTTCTAGCTGAAATGAGGGGAAGCTCTCTACCCACTTATTCAAGATTTCAAATTAGCAAATTAATTTTTAAAAATGATAGCCATAAATACATTTTACACACTGCACAAGCATTGAGTATTACGTTATTTTAAAATTTAGACAGATGCTTCAGTTACAATCTTTTGGTTAGGGTCAATTTCTTGTCTTTGACTAGTGATCCATTAGTCTGCTTCTACCTCCTGTCCCTTTACAAAAAAATACATCCATAATTCATAATATATGATCCCATTTTTATTTCTTTAAGATAAAACAAGATGTTTAAGATGTGCAAAGCATGTTAAATACATAAAACATCCTTGAAAATTTATATCAATCTTTGTTTTATGACTTGTTCAACTTCCAAAGTTGTTTTTTCTAATTCAATAGCAATTTTTTCTTAGCAACTCATTATCAATTCTTTCTTTAAAAAAATGCATTCCACTTAGATTTCATCATAAAAATGAATTTCACTTAAAACTTATATTCATTAGTGTACTTAATGCTGAATGCCCTGAATAGTCATATTAATAAAACTGCCTTTACCAGGTAGGTTTATTTACCAGCTGTCTCAGGTTTACAACCAATGCTTAATAGGGATTCAACACAGATAGAGTGAGAAGTGCAAGGGTCTTAGGAAGCAGAGTGGCTAGCTTGCTAGAGACATGGGTCAGCTGCGTTACAAAGGGGACAGAGGGGACTCAAAACAATGCACACTTCCTAAGTGAAGCACTGCTAAGGGGTTACTAACATGATTTCTCTTTCTCCCAAACTTCCAAAGACCTTTATCTGAAACTCTCATCTCTCTACCCAAATATATAATTACTTAGGTACCTGATTTTTCCCCCTTGAAAATAACATTTCTAGCATTTCTTGGTGTTCCACATATGGAAGCTTTCATTAGTTGTTATATCTTATTGTGAGTAAAGGCAAAAAGACTAAACCAATTCCATAAGGACTTTAAAAAACATAAATATTGTTCAGATTGATAAAGATTTTATAGACCTTGTTTATTACTTTGTGGGAGTTTTCCCACATGTATTTTAGTTCTTTAAATTCATCTTCTGCAATAAGTGTTTATAAAGTGCAGATTTTTAGAGTTTGGTGGCTTATTTTTTAATGTAATGATCGTAAAAGAGATAATTCAGAAAATGTTTTAGGTTCTTCTGCCTTTGCACACTCCCATTCTCGACACTCTCTATACTTCCTAAAAACAGCTTCAACCTGTCTGCATGGCTCTGGAACAAACAGGAGTTTGGTCGACAGGTGAGTGGAGAATGGAAGAAGTAACTAGGAAATGTTGACCCCCACCACCACCCGACCTCATCAGCAAAATTTTAGTGATAAGTTAGACCCCACTGGTCTCCCAAAAGAAAAAAACACATCCTCTCCTAAGTCTCCAACAGATTAAAGGTGCTAACAGCTTCTTCAGGAACCTCACATCCTTATTTGTTCTCTTAACTCCACCCACATTTTTGAAAATAGTACCTCAACCAGTTTTGTTCCAGATCCCAGCCACGTTGCACTCAGTTTCCTACCAGGACTTTGGTTGATACAACCACCAGGTGCTAGACTATAACCCCTTGCATTAAGTTTCAGTAATGCAAAGAGACTTAAAAGTTCCCACTTTTTTTTTCCTACTTGACTTACATTGCACTTAGGTCTAGGTGAGAGCCTGGTGGGAAAAGCATGCTGGGTATTTAATACAACTTGAAAAATAAGTTCACAGTACTAGTCAGAAATCTAGCATGATTCTATCCTTTGACCCAGAAATGCACTCCTTAGGCTTTATCATTTACTAACACCAACCTACGTGTTCAAAGATCCATCTCCAGGATCACAGCTGAAGGGCCCAGGAGAACCAAGCGCAACCGAGGAAAACTAGACAAGTGCAGTGTGACCCAGAGGCCAGCGTCTGCAGTGGGAGGCAGCACAGGTATGAATTTGTCACTGCTCTACTCCGCCAGAGCTAGATACTGCAATACTTACAATGTTTGTTGATCTTCAGATTTTTTAAGAGAAGGCAAAAATCTGGATATTCACCTACATTCTCTTGATTTATAAATGTTGACTCCATGTAAAAAAAAATTTTACAGACAATTTAGAACTTAAACCAGATGAATCAGCACTGCTAATCTGGCCCTCAGTTTCTGGACTTTGAAGGTTATATAAGAAGGTGACTCTTTGTGTTGTTTGAAATAGCAAACACTTAGCCACAAACTAATTGTCAGTCATGAGATGGACTTTATATCACACACTTCCTAAGGGACTCAATCATCACAAGTATAGACTCAAATGCAGAGCTGAGTTATTTTTTAAAGCAATTTTGAGAATAATATCAGGCTGGTTATCCAATATTTTCAAGGGTTTGTATAGTGTGATTGTGTGTGTGAATAACAAGCAGTTTGGGAAAACACCTGTCAGACTGCTGACAATGTTTTAACCATGCTCAGTGTGAATGGAGATGATGGAGGTAGACATATCTTTTTTTCTTCTTGTTTTTAATTTTTCACAATGAGATTGTAACACACATATAATTAAAATGAAATAACATTTAGCTAAAAGTTTCTGAAACTATTGTTCACCAAAGAGCTTCAGAGAGTTTTAGTTCATCATAACCTATAGCAAAAAGAAATAGTAAACAGTCAATACTTATTGGCTGTTTACATCGTGGCAGGCACATTTCTGAGATGTATGAATGTATTAACTCACTTAAACCTCACAACAGCCATTATGAGATAACTACTATTGTTTTTCCCCATTTCACTACTGAGAAAACTGAGGCACATGAGAGGTTAAGTGACTCACTCAAAGTCACATGGCTAAGAAGTGGGAGATCAGGGAATTAAACCGTCAGCTTAGCACAAGAGCAAACACACCTCACACCAACAATGCTTGTCTTAATACTGTCCATGAAATGCCAATAATTTAGGAATAGTTCCATAGAAGTTAATGTTACTAAAGTTATTATTCACAAGTTATATAAACTAAATTATCTCCCTCAACACTCCAGTAATATTTTATTCAAGATAAAATAGCTCTTTTTATTATAAACCAATAGCCCACAATAAATTTTCCATTATCTCTGTTGTGTAAGTTTTTACTAAGGCATAAGAATTTAGAGATTTACCTTTATCCAACCTAAACTAGCCAATAGATGTCTTTTAAGTATTCAGCCAAGAATGTAACACTTCAGTTTTCAATATGTCTTTTTGATATATTCCAATGCCATGATTTAAAAAGAAATCAAGGTCATTTTATCTTTTGTGGAGGAAAGAAAAGTTAACTTGACCTTGTAAACTCAGAGAAGACTTTTAAAAAAAGGCAAAACATCTGGAAGACGTGCCCTTATAATATCAGATGCTTCTCTTGTTAAGTGTGACCACGATAGATGAGTCTATGAGAGGCACACTTTGTTTGGCCATATGGGCTTTGTGTACAATGTGCAGTATGTTAGAACATGCTATAGAGACGTCAGAATTTTTCCTTCTGACGTCAAGTTTCTATACTCCGTGCCTCTCCATCCAGTATTAGTCAAGGCAAAAGGACTATTCTGATAAAATAAAGATTATAACTTTGCAATTAATACCTCTCAGAGAATGGTATGTTTATGGTAAAAGAGATCCTGTTCTCTTGGAAGGGTCATATCAGTATTTAAATTATACACATTTACCAATGGATGAAATTTGGCATTCTCTCCTTCTCTTCTCAAGCACTCTTAATTCTTACTGTAATTCACTCAGTCAAGCAAGCATACTGAGCACATCTACAGGGCACTTGCAAGATATCACAACAAATTGCTCTCTGTTCTTGCCTTGGATTTTGTTCCTATTTTGTTAACAATGGTAACTTGATATATTACAGTTGCATTATCTGGAAAATTCCAAAAGTTGTAAAAATTGATTCCTAAAATGTCTTATATATAAAAATGTGTAAAAGTGTATAAAAGTGTGACATATCACCAAATTATCAATTTTGGTGAGGACATGAAAAATGAGGGAGGAAAGGAACCCTTCTGAGCCAAATCCTGCCAAGTAGCCTGAATTCCTCCAAGAGATAAAATGAAGGAACAAAGTTAAACTAAGAAATGAATAACAATGTAAGAAATGAATAAGCTTATTGATTTATTCTCTTTTATGCTTTTTCCTCCTATTGATCAGATCCCAAAACACAAGACCATTTCCCAGAGATAAGGGAATGAGGACTAGAAGATAAATATGTACAATTATCAATTGTAAAATCAAAGTTTGACCTCTACCATGGACCAGCGTTAACAGATTGCCAGATTGGAGCTGAAGCAAAAGACCAGTTTAAGAAAGAAAGACCAAGAAGAAGATGGCTACCTTCCTGGTGAAGCCACAGGACCAAGGTGCAAGTTACAGATATGTGAGAGCGAAATACTCCAGGATATTCAATTCTAGGATTCTACATTACCAGATTTAGCCCTCCAGATAGCTTTTATCCTGATGGCTGTCTCTAGTTATCACTTTCTTTGAAAATCCAATAGAGCACTGGCAGCCCCAGGGTTTTCTAGAGGACCAAGATTATTGCGAATACTGATCTCTTCTCTCTTCGTCCTAGAGATTCTCAACCTGTTGAAGAAGCAGTGGACTCAGGGGCCCTCTTTAGGGTGGTTTGGTTACTCTGGGCCCTTCCCCTCCACGAGAAGTGCCCAGGTAGGAGCACTTAGCTGTCATTCCAAGGTGACTGCTGAATCATCCGAGATCCTTGAATTTTGGGGGCCACTGTCCTGATAAATGCAAAACAAGACAAAAACACCCTTCCCTTTATAGTTTTAACTGCAACCTTATGGCAGAGGACTTCTAAATCTAAGACTCCAACTCAGACTTCATTCTCAATCCAGAAACATATTACCAGCTGCTTTTTAGACGTTCCAACCAGGGTCCCATGGAATTTGGGTCCAAATTGTGTGAACTATTTAAGAATATGAACTTAACCTACCTGGGCTTGAATCCCAATGTCACCACTTAATATCTGTATAACCTACAGTAACTTTGATTCCTCACAATGTATATTGTGATGGAACATTAGGTTGTGATGAAGACTAAGTGTGTTTGTATACATAAAACATCTGGTACAACACCTGCACGAAGTTAATGCCACATAAATGTTACAGTATCATCTCCTGCATTATTGGCAATACCAACACAATATTAATATTAGTGATATTATATCAATATGAATAATATGAATTCAGTATTCATAAAGGAGAGGTCTTCATTCATTCCATAAAACTAGATTCCAGTTCTTCATCTCCTACCTCCATTAACTGCAGCATCCTCTATTTAGTTTTCTAAGTCAAAAACCTAGAAAACAGCTTCTCAATCACCTCTTCTCACTCGTTTGTTTCCTCTGAACACAAACAATCTTTCTCTCATCAAGATCACCTTCACTGTACATCCCATAGACCTATTTATACTTTAACAAAAATACATCTCTACCTTCAAACTAGTCTCTCTGCCTATAACCTTCTCTCTCTCTCTAATCTTTTTGGTAATTCCAACTTCCTAAAAAAAAAAAAAAACTGGTTACATTTCACTAACTTTACAAAATATTTTCATGATGCTCAGACAAAATTAGTTACTCTTCCCTGTGTTCTTTCTGTGAACACTTATAACATGACCTACTTCCAAGAGAATACTTGTCATAATACACTGTCACAGTCAGGCACCTCCTCTACCAGAGTCATCATGAGGAACTCTGTCTGGCAGAGTTCAGTGAACCTACAGCAATCACAAGGCCTAGCAAATACTAAGGATATAATATTTGGCTGATATAATATTTGACTGATATATTATATCAAGGATATAATATTTGACTGATAGTAAATGAAATATAACTTTACCATCATCCTTTCCACCTCTCGTAGTAGTTCTGAGTAGAAAAGTAATTTAAGAAAACTTACTGATAGCTCCTGGGAATGGGAATCTAGCACATTATAGCTGGTGCGTTATTTCAAAGGGAAGTACTTGGGCCCACACAAGTTGAGGTGACGTTGCCCTTCTTCTATCAGTTACGTCGTTTTGTCGTTTGTTTACAATTGCCAATTGCTTATAAGACACAAACCCCCAACAATGTACAGAGACTAGAGATTGTGATTGCGGTCACCAAATTCCTTAATTTCTTCATGTTCCTGTTCATTTCAAGGTATGGTTTCCATAAACAGTAATTAATTTTGTAGAATTTTCTAATCACAAAACACCATATTAGTCCATGTTTACAAAAAACATCACTCTTATACAAACATTACAAATAATGCTCCTGAATATGTTTCATTGCCATCCATTTATAGGCAAAAATGTGAAGTGTCTAAAAAGAAATGCTTCATAATATGTCTCTATCTTCCTGGCATGTGGCAAAACTAAGTTAGCATTTGACCAAAGGGGGAAATATTTCTAAATTGAATCTATTTGTGATATACTGGTTTAAAATCCAAAACTGCCAACATATTCTGTTTACTCTCTTGGCATCTGTTGCATCTGTTAACTGGTGGCCGAAAATCAGAGCAGACTTAACTAATTAGAATGGTCCCCATCTGGTCGCTGAACTTCTTGTTTATGCTTCCTTTACATTCTAAGTACAGAGACCCGAACCAGAACTTATGTGGTTTGCAGAAGAGGAGGCGCTCTGGCCTGCTCATGTGCTATTGTTCTGCTGAGCCAATCTTGGCGCAGATGGAAATGTTCTCTGTGTTTTATGGTCTCCCTTCACGTGCTCCCTTGGGATGAATCATCATTGCCACGAGAATGTCCATTGTCTCCAAAAACACTTTCTCATTCATTTGTATCACCATAGGCCTAGATCTAAGCCTATGCGTACTTGACTGAGAAATAAAATTTCTAAGTAGCATCCATGATCTGGTAAAGCCAATACCATTCCTCCTAAGAATAAAACTAAAGAAAAGGATAAAAGGAAAACATAGTGTAGTTTATTTCTTCAAGGTTTTTGTTTAATCAAGTGAGTATAGTTTCATAATAGAAAGCACACTCCTGGCAGAAATGTGCCGTGGTTGTAATCTTAGGCTGTGGACAAAGGCTTTTGCCAAAATTTTGGCCCTGCCTGCTGTTGGGTATCTCCTGGCCAGCTGACATCATCTCACTAAACCTCAGTTTGCTCATAGGCAAATTAGAATAATATTTTAGTTGTTATTTCATAGAATGATGAGAATTAGATAAGAAATCATGGCAGAGTGCTTACACAAGTATGTGTAAGGAAATTATACATAATTGGTATCAGAAAACTGGCGAACGACATATTATTAAGAATAGAGGTCTAATATCTTTTTTAAAAAAACAGTAACTAATAGGGTTTTCAAAGGTAACACATCTTGTACTATTTGGCTATTTCTGAAGCTCGGTTATTTTGCTGAAGTTTCTCTTAGAAATGTTTCATGTCCCTGAGCATGTTCCAGTCAATATTAGAAGATTAGCAACATGCTGGGTAGCGATGGAAAGTAAGCATGAGATTAACACATTACTGAGAGAAACGGAATAGCTCTGTTCACTCAACCACCTTTTGCCTGTTTTCCATTGTTAGTTTTTCCCCCAAGAAGTGACAGTAACCTTGAAAACAAACTTACTTGAGCAGATCGGGGTATTTGACAAAGGTGAACAAGACATGCTCTCTACCTTGAAAGAGTTCACAATACTTCAGGAGGGTCACATGTATACATTTAAAAAAAAAAAAAAAAAAGGTTTCTGTGTACATAACCCCGAGTCTATACTGTATAGCCTGGGAACATTTTCTAGGGGAAGACACTTCTGAGATGAACCTTAAGGGGTTCAGATGAGTGAGTGGAGCCCCCTGTGTGGGCTGAGTAGCAGAGTTGATCTAATGCTCGTGCAGGGAGCCGAGAAGGCCAAGATGGGAGAGGTTGCAGGGGTCGGTTGGTTGTAGATGTTCTTATGTAGGAGTTCGTCCTGTTGAAGCACAATGGTAAGAAGCTAGGAAAATTCCTGGGCAATGAAATGGGAAAACTGAGACAAGAAAATAAAACAGGCCGACAGTTTGTGTGATTTATAGCCTGCTGGTAAATCACAAGTGCGTACCTCCCCTAACCAAGGGCATAAGAGTAAACAGTTCACATCTCTCTTCCCTGACCAAAGAATACATAGCTTAAGTCTCCCTAGTCTGGGGGATACAGGACAGAGACCCAATTAATGCCATTGGTGCCAGCCAAACCCAAGGACAGATGACATCAGGGAACACGTAACAAAAATCCCTTTAAAAGCCAGATAGATTCAAGATGAAAGTAAAACAGTAGAATACATTGCTCCCCAACCTTTTTGGCACTTGGGATTGGTTTTGTGGAAGACAATTTTTCCATGGATGGAGCAAAGGTGGGGTGGTAGAGGAGAGGATGGTTTCAGGATAATTCAAACACATAGATTCTCCTGTAAGAATCTATTGCCACTGCTGATCTGAGGGAGGGGAGCTCAGGCGGCAATTCAAGAGAGCAATGGGGAGCCATTGGAAATACAGAGGCAGCTTTGCCTGCTGTCCACCTCCTGCTGTGCAGCCCAGCTCCTAACAGACCACTGACAAGATAAGTGTCTGTGGCCCCAGAGCTGGGGACCCCTGCTATAATGGACCAAAGAATATTTCCCAAACCCCATATGTGCTCATTCGGATGCATCAGCCTATTAAAAATGCACCTAGAAAAGCTAGTGAATGTTCTGCTGAAACCCTCCCCTAAGATTTTCACCCAGGAGAAAAAAAGATTAAAAAACCCTCAAAACAAAGATGCAGCACAGGCTCACTCTAGAACATACCCATGCCCCTTCCCCGGCATGAATGTTTTATTTCCTCCTAAATTCGAAGGGTCCCTAGGAGACCTGCAGCCAGAGGAGCAGTGGGCAGCAGCAGCTGGGCCCAGGCTTTACCCCCTGACCCTGTCTCTGGGTCCCCTTTTCATCTGACTTTCCAGGGACCTAAGAGCAGCCCCACCTTGGCTCACTCCTTCCCTGTAACTTTTCTAGGGAGCCAAAGTAGCCCCACCTTAAGCTCTCTCTGGTCACTTCTTCCGCCCTAAGTCTTCCCATTGTTTCACTGTCCCCAGCCTTAGTAAATATATCCTCAACACTCACGCTGTGAAATCTTTCCTGAACAAAGTCAAGAACCTGCAGACTTGCTCTAAGCCAGTACCTGTCCAGTGATATTACAACTAACGAGAAGCTATTGAGGGACTTGGAGCAGTGAAGTGGCAAAGACAGACTTTCAATTTATATGACTCTTTCAGCAGCACTGAGGACAGATCTGAAGAAACAGTCAAGATGAATTTGCTGTAGTTCAGGCCTTAGCTAAAAAAAAAACAATGTCAGCCCTGGCTGGTGTAGCTCAGCGGATTGAGCACGGGCCTGCGAACCATGCGATCGCGGTTCGATTCCCAGTCAGGGCACATGCCTGGGTTGCAGGCCAGTTCCCAGTGGAGGACACATGAGAGGCAACCACACACTGATGTTTCTCTCTCTCTCTCTTTCTCCTTTCCTTCCCCTCTCTCTGAAAATAAATAAATAAAATATTTTTAAAAATGTCAACTAGGGCAGTAATAATTTGAATAAAGTAGCTAGAATAGACCTCCAAAAATGATATAAAATGTGGAGAGCTTGTTGGGACATCAGATCTGGGGCATGTGCCAGCATGGTGAGAAAGAAGTGTGAGACTGTCTTTGCAGTTGAGTGGCTGGGGAAGAGTGCGGCCACCTACTGAATCAGAGGACAGAGAAAGAGAAGCTCATCCACATGGGAAGAGGAGCAACTTGGTTGAATGGGGAGCACCTGTTGTGCATGGCGACATGGGCAGGAGCAAGCACTTGGTAAATTGGTTACAATTAAAATCTGGTGAACGAATGATCAAATGAAGGATAGTATCCAAAAAATGTGTAGGAAGAGAAAAGGAGTAGCCCATGAAGGCAGAAAAAACAGTCAGAGAGGAGAGCCAGAAGAGAATGGAATCGTGGGAGTTAAGGACATAAAACCTTGGAGGAAGGACAATAGTGAAAATACACAAAGGAGATCCCATAACATAATAACAACTAAAATGCGTAGTGAGTTTGCTTGGATTTTGCAGTCAGATGCACTTGGGGTCATGTCCCTCTTCTAAAACTTACCTTTT